GTTCTTCTTTCGCAAACTTCCTAGCCATTGCAAACAACTGCTTACATTCTGGTGAGAGATGTTCTACGACATATATTTTTTTTGAGTCGCCTGACAGTGCCAGGTGGCGGGAGTTAAGAGTGTCCTTGGGATGTGCCTTATTAAATCTCTGAACGCTAGATATTAATGTATCTTTCATTCGTGGTGAGGCGAGGGTAACCAGGATATTCCTCGCACGCTTGGAGTTACTATCCATTTTAGCTACTCTGCGACAAGCGAGTACGCAGTGGTCTTCGATGGGAAAATTAACGGTCTCACATAACTTTTTGAATAATAAAGTCACGTTCTCATTTTTTGTTTCCGGTACCTCTTGTATCTCAGCATTGTAACTACGACTAGTTTTCTCCAGGGCTGATACACGATTTGTCAATTTAATAATCTCCCCTTGCATAAGTTCGCAGTCAGCCTCCAAAGTCTTGATAGTGATATCTTTTTGTTTTATTTGAGACTTCAAGATTTCATGTTCAGAGGTGAAAAGGTTAGTAGCAGTGTCAAGGTCATTTCTCATCTCTTGTACCACGGAGCCCATCTCCGCACGAACCATACCCGCAACATCATCCCTTAGCGCCAGACGAAAACTGTTCATAAATGATGTAAGCGACTCATTCAATTTTTTATCAAAAAGAGCACTAATTTTATCCATTGTCACACCATTACATCCAGGATGACAAGGAGCGACGTCCGCAGTGCCATAGGATAATGAGGTATTATCGTTCTGAATGTCGAATGACATATTAAATGAACTGTCGTTCCCTACTGGTATTTGGCGTTGTCGAACTGGAGTGTCAATATTATTCTTACGCCTATGGGACACGTTGCTACAGGATGGGCAAGTCCATGTTTCTTTATATGATTGAGTTAGTGTTTTATAGTGGTCATCCCCTATATTAAGACATTTGTTGTGGAAACATCCCTGGCAGTATCGACACTGTAGATAGAATTCAGTTGAAATAGCACTTAAGCATCCACGGCAACAAGGCATCTTCGAAGTCTCTTAGCGAATGTCGTTTGTTTACAAAAAGCTTCTCTTACTGTTCGCCGTAAGCCAAAGCAATAAATGCAATAAATAACGACGTGAGTATAAAGGATGATACAGGAAGCGCCCTCTCTTGTTAAAGTTAATTACTATTAATGCAAGCTTATGTCAACATGTGATGATGTTATGCTAGTGCACATAAAAGCAATGAACTGAAGAAGTGCAAGAGGAAATTGATAGATGTCGCCTGTGTATCGGAAGATGATGAAGCAAAATCGATATTCAAATGAATATTAATGTTTTCATATTTCAAATGCGATAATGAAATTAACACCACAAAATTACAGTTTGCACTACAGTTTTTGTCACATTCATAACTCAAAATTGTTAAGTATTCACTTTCTTGAAGAATGATTACGTTAATACATTACGAAGTCAATAGTCAAAGGTATTATAGACACAATCTTTAATAATAGCATATTATTTATTATCACTAATAGTTATAATAGTCACTAGCACTGATATATTCACTATAAATTAGTTCTTAATAATATTTACTAACTTTTTACTATTTATTTTTAATTAAACTCAGGAGCAAAGATTTATGTGTATATACTGAACGGCGCCCTCTAGCGAAAAAAAAAAAAAAATGATTAAAAGTTCACAGGAAGATGGAATTGATTTTCTAATATTTCTGAGCATAACTTATATTATACGAAGTTACACATTCCTATTACTAAATCTGTCAAGGAACAAACCACGATTGTCATAATGTCAGCCGGCACAGATGTCTGTAGGTATTCACATGAACAAAACAAATATATTATGTAAATTTTTACCCAACCCAACTCTGTTAATTATGGTCAGTTGCTTTATACCTTTTGTGCGTGTTTTAGTGGTCACAATGTCGGGTTAATTTAAAGTATAACATATGTTTGTAAAATATATTATACATAGAAGGATTTTTTAAATTGAATGACAATATTATATCAACTATTATATATGTAACTACCTACTTATATCAATACACCTGGATATAATATTGTGAATGCCTTTCTATATATGGTTTCATTGTATAATATTAATTTTATTTTGATATGTATTACGTATGATATGTATTATGAAATAAAGTTTTTACAATATTCAATCTAAACAGTGGTTACACCCTATTTCATTGATAGATATTCAATGTTGACGATATTAATTAAATGCATAAACCTTTATACTAATAAAGTTTTAAAACAAGAAAATTGATGTAATTGGAAAACTGCAACACATCAATGTTTTTCTAGATTCTAAATATAAATATTGTTTAACACTTATTTTGTAAGCAGTCTCTACCAATAACTACAACAACTAATTAATATGCAGTTTCAAAATATAGGAGACTAGGATTTTCTTTAAGTTCTAGAGATATTACGTGAAATACATATCTAAAATATACATTACATCACTATTATATAGTTGTAATAAAAATGTAAGTACACCGAACTGTAAATATACAACATTAAATTTTATATTTCGTTTGTTATTTAAAAATCCGCATTTCTATCATCAAGGAGAACGAGCGGCCATTGTACGGGAAGGTCGCGCAAATAAAATTGATTACCGCCGGAATCGTCCTAGTAATATAAAGTAAAAGTCAGCAAAACGATATTTTATTGACTTATGAAGCATTCGAATGATCCTCCAAACGTTCTTATTCTCATCAAAAGTATTTACGTTTTAACTGAAATGATCGCTCTAATATTGAAGTAGCCCTTCAAAATATTTTTATAGCTCCTCCGAAACTCAGTTTAAACTTCTGTAGGCTAGAGAATTTATAAAATAATCTGTTTCCGAAATTCTAAGTATTACTTATTTTAAATAATGTGTTACGAATGAGATAGTAAGTAGATATATTTTACTATTAACATCCGAATTACTAAACCAGTAGCTGTATTGTTTTTTTTCTTAAGAACTATTTCCTTTATTTGAAATAAAGTATATGCTGTATCAGGCGAAATAGGTTTTTTATGTGATTTGAATATCAAGACACTGACGGCCCGCCTGATGGTGAGTATTAACCAGAGCCTACATACTCGTATATAGACTATATGCTACTGTCATTACATATCAGGTGACACATAATATCACTCATGCATTGTCATACCAAATTAATATGTCATACCACTTATCCTGTGCTTTCATTGGCGAATTTTATCCTACAACCGAAACACTGGTTACAAAAAAGCTACTTGGCGGCTGGAGTGGGTGAAACTGAGTTATCCACGACGACTTTCTAGACTACATGTGATGTAATTATTATTATTAATATTAGGAGGTTTTAGTATACACGAATAAGGGGATTAAATATTGACACACATCCATAATTATAAATGACAGAAACGATTTCTGCATTCTGCATTAACAAAGGTAGACTAATTTGACTCAGCTAATTATAACATGGAATTCATCGAAAATATGAGTAGGTACAAACACTAATAATAAAGAAATTGATACTAAAAAGAACTGCAAGTCCCAAGGCTGTTTCCTAATTAGAATGGCAATCAAAGCGATGTTGTAACCGTTACCTATATATACGAGTACGCACTAAGGACATTAGGTTATTTTGCACACCTGTAATAACTTGGTGTACTGTTTGTTAATATCATACACAAAATATACATACATAACAATAAAAATGAATAATTTAAACTAACAGCACTTCTGTCAATGTGCTTTGGTTTACAAATATTCCATTTAATTCTTAGTTCGCTTGTGGTCATTAAAACTTATCAACAACAATTATTATGGATATAAATTTTCTATAGAGTACGACGTTGTATTATATTGCATAAACGGCAAACTTTCCCCGCGCAGAAATAGGTTGCAGATATTTAACATTGCAGATTATTTTTACGTCATCACTTTACAAGTATATAGCACGATGTTATTTCTACCAGAAGGATAGTTTTTTTTCTTTTTCTGTGATTACTCTTTTATAATCTGTTGCTTAAACATTTAAACAAGTTTCTTTTGTACCGGATTCGGTGGTCTAGTGGTTTAGCACACCGCCTAACTTCATGACACAAATATTTGTATTTATGAGTATGATTATTTTTATCGGTCTGGATATATATAATATATATTTACGAAAAAAAATTATCTATTTCTATCAGTTATCAAGCTATAACTAGAGACTAGATGGCGCTGTGTGAATTGTCCTGAGATTATTATATTCTTATTATTATTTTGTTGGTCTTTTTTTACTTAACTGTCAGCATATGATATTAGAATACAATGTCCAATAAAATACTAATAAATAATGATTATTGCAGAATAAACAGCTGAGCGGAATTTGACTAAAAAACCAATTACTTCAGGCTCGATTTGGTTTCGTGTGTAATATTTACATGGAGATGATCTCTGTGAAGCAGAGAGCATTTAGATAGGTTCCTACTTATTTAAACATTTGTAATTTACAGATATATACACTTCAAGCTTCGTACTCATTAGAAAGTATATTTGTGTTTATTTGTAGATATTTATACTTAGGTGCGTTGGTTGGTTAAGAGCTAAGATACGTGTTATATAACAGTTATTATCTAAAGTTAATTATAGAGTTAGACCTTGTACAAAGCCACCTGGATAGGTACATCTCTCTCATATCATTCAGCCGTCGAGCTCGTTTTATAAAATGTGTATTTGTGGAAAAATACAATTTTATAAAATACAAATTTATTTGTATAAAATAAGGCAGTGAATTACGAAGTATGAAAGAACGAATTCTTAGTCAATGCTTGAGTGGTACCACGAATGTCATATGATATACGTGGTGCTTTGCATGTATATAGGTGACAGTTACCACTTAAAATCAGGTGTATCATCTGTTTGTTAGCAGTTACAGTTATGTACAAAAAAAATGATTTGATAACAAGGTCATCGGTAAAATACAAAATCGTTTCAATGCCCTCCAACAATATGAGTTTCGTATAATACCCACCGCCAGTTTTCTCCTTCAGGCCAGACGGTGAGATTCCAAGTAACTCGATATAAAAATGCACTATATACTTAAAAATTTATCACTTTACCGATCAATAAAAAGATTAAGCACTTTCAATGTCTATTGCCACACTACAGTATCTGATTGATATTTACTTATGTATATATTTTACACTTTATTATGTACCTATGTACTCTTATGTATTGAATTATTATATTACAACTTCTATACAATGTACTCTTAAAGACAGTTGCTAGTACAAATGGACTAAAACTAGAGGCGTCAAGATACGTACGTTAGTTAATGTCTTGAATTGAATAGGGATGTAACATTCTGCACAAAAAGTAGACTATAGACAATCGATAAAATATCGAATAATTATGTTAACACAGTTATTGGTTAAGAATTAATCGTTATTTTTTAATTAACAATAAAATAACGAGGTTTGATTTGGCCTGCAAGTGTTTTTATTTTTTAGGTCGCTACGTATATTGTTTTTTTTAAACGAATTAATTTAATCGTCATGTAACTTAGTATTATTAAAATATATTTTTTTATTTAATAATAAACGAAATTTGCCATAGTTCACTTTTTCACATCCCTAGAATGGAATTGAATTAGCATCGCAGGACCCTCTGTTAATGGACGTTACGAATAGAAATTGATACGCTCAGAGCAGAAAGTTTTACTATAAGTACAACTCGATGTTTTAAATATGTAAATTAAATTGTTCTTCCTAATTTGTATTTTAAGCGCTAAATAACTATAATGGGCTGTTTAAAAGTAGTATTAAAGATGTTACCACGTTTTTTCGTATTATTGAGTTCCCAATATCCTCTCATTGCTACAATCGCCATGATCATGGGTAAACTATAGGTAGTAAGTAGGTGGTAAATTATAGGAAGACACATTCATCTACCGTCACACGTCTTTGTCGCTACAACCGAAACTCGCTTGATACTATCTCGACACACTACACTCGCTGTATCTTGAATACACTTCTCTGTAGAGCGGTTTAAGTTTAATTAGCTTTCTAACTTAAAAATAAATTATATGAATTTCTTTGCATATTTATTATTTATCTACACCTTTGTATGCTATAGGTTACTAGTAATCTATTTATTATTCAAGGATAATATGTTTCATTATTAAAATCTGTTATCAAACATATTTCACTTTTTTAGAATTACACCAATACTAAGTTTAATACAAATTAAATTAGGTATATTTATTACAGATTTTCCTTTAATATCTGATTATTTCGGAATAGTTCTCTTTAACAGAAAGTCATTGGAATATGATCCAGAGCTTTCTTTTATACCATTAATGTTATCTTTCCGAACCACTCTAATACAGTTTGCAGTTATCATTTACTTTTCTCTAGCATTTCATTTGTTATTACACCGAATAAAATGGAGCCGATAGCATAAGGCACTCCGACACTGCGGAAGGTCTTCCAATTCCTGCTTGACTTGCTTCCTTGCTTGTTTGAATGGAATATCGAATGGAGGGGATTCATTGTCTATGTTGTTATATCATTATGTGAAAATAAACGAGCTAAAAACGTAAAATTACAGGTAAAGAGGAATGACATCTTAGTAGTCCGGAATGGCAACGCATGAGTGGTATCACATGATAACGTGATGTGTATAGTGTAGTTCATGAATATAGGCCATTGTTACTATTTGCTATCAGGTAGGTCTGCAGCTTATTTCCTATTAAAAAAATAGAAATTCCGCCTCTACTTCTTTTTAAAATTCATATTATTACACCATAGACTTATTTCCTGTATACTGTACATACCATCTGCAGTGTATATACAACGAGTCTTGCTTGCTATTCTAAAAATCTAAAACCGCCTACATTTCTCTCTGAAATCTTATTGTTACGCCATAGACTTATCTCCGCAACTGTACACAACAATTGCGGTGCACATACGACGAGTCATGAATATAATTGAAGTGTCTATTGTCAGTTGTCTTGTCTCATACAGAGTTATAAACTTTACAGTTTACAATATAAAAAATATTGAATGTGTATTACATGATATTAAAAAAATAAAGGAACAAATTGGGAAAATTATTACAATCAATGATATGAATTATAAATACCTAAAATAGAAGAAATGTGTGTATTAATAATTCTTTTATTCTCATAAAATATCATACATGTATTAAATTTAATTCTAGAACTAAAATATTGAGGAATTGTACGTATATTCGGTATCAGTACATTTGAGTAGAGTTCCAATTAAGTAGAGACCATATGCTTAGATTAAGACAGCTATCAGTAAAATGTAATAAATGCGATGTATACCGACAACATACGATATACATTTTCTAATGGCTGCACAAAAGTCAATATACCCATTACAGGAGGTAAGTAAGTGTATTACATATTATAGTAAGTATTTTAGTAGGTATATATTTATCTATGTATGTTAGGTAATATTACGGGTTTGACCTTTCCCACTACTGTCAATTAAACGTATTCTGTTCTTATCTAATGGTTAGCTGGTAGAGAATGCCATATGGCACTAAGCTCGCCAAATTGTACAATTTTATAAATGCAATAAAAGAATAAAAAAATATAATAATAATAATAATAATAATAATATATTTTATTGACACCAATTTAAGTAGTTACAGTTATTCTCCTTATAAACTATTACATTTTTGTTAAATACGCATCATACATATAATTTACCAGTAGCATCTATTAGATACTAGGCCGAGCCTGTATCATAGATACTACCTTCTTCCAGCGACAAATAGGTAAAAATTAAAATGTTGCAATTGCGTGGGTAGATTTACATTTCAACTTGTACAAAATATGAATGAAGTGCATTGGCATCAATCCATTCGCAGCTCGTAAACAGGTTTACAAGTGACTCAGCGCGACCACAATAACCATGAACATAAACAATATAATAACGTTAGTTAACAAACTAAAATAATATAGTTTTAATTTTATCTTTTTATATCTTAATGTACGCTTAATCTTAAATTTGTTTATAATAACAGTATATCGTAGATGTATATAAATATATATATTGCTTGTTTAAGGTGTATATTTTTAATGTTACATTTTCATACTATTTAATAAAGAGATGTATATATAATAGTGTGTATAGTGTTTACGTGTGTGTGTATGTGTATGAGTGTGTGTGATGTTTGTGTATGTGTGCGGTTGTATGTGTATGTACTCATGTCATTTTACTGCTACAAGAAGCTTTTCAATGTCATTGTAATTTAATGATTTTAGCCATATTGTTAGAATTTCTTTACATTTTAAGTAATTGAGGTGATATATATCGATAATTTTATTAATTTTATTATAAAGCATAGGACCGAGGTACATTTGAAATTTATTAATAAAATAGCTTTTGAAGGGAATTCTTTGGCAAACATCTTTTCTACGAAGTTTCATCAGATCCATGCTAAATGGAGTTTTTAGGTGTTGGGACAACACTGTATCTCTTACAAACATTTGTCTAATGGTTAGCACATCAGTATCTGCATATAATTCTATAGTAGGATATCGAAAAGGTTTGAAGGTCATTACTTTTAGTATTGCTCTCTGTGCTCGCTCTATTTTTAATAAATGGGTTTTTCGTGCTCCACCCCAAGTAGTTATACAGTAACTTAATATTGACTGGACCAATGCAAAATAAACTTTTTTAATTAATTTAGAATCTGCTATATGTCGTAATGTTTTAAAAATATAAATAAGTCGTCGTGTTCGTGATGATAGCAGGTCAATATGAGGTTTCCACGTTAGGGTTTTGTCGAGTATAACTCCCAGGTATTTAATGGTGTCTGTTTTACATATGTAAACACAGTCACAGCTGTCGTTATTTGCGGCCGTAATATCATTGAAGCATTTATGTATTTTTATGTGAAAATTTTGTTCTGTGGGAACTAGTCTTTTTGTAATGCCAAAAGTAACATATTTTGTTTTAGCGATGTTTAATGTTAAAAGATTATTGTGTAACCATTGAGCCACTATTTGAAGTCCTTTTTCAGTTAGAATTCTCGTCTCCTCCCATGTCTTCCAATAAAAAATTAAAGCAGTATCATCAGCATAAGTAAAGACTTTACAAATTTGAATTAATAAGTTACAGAGATCATTGACATAAAGTAAGAAAAGGGTAGGACCGAGGACACTACCTTGTGGTACTCCATGGGATATATCAGCTTTATATACAGCATCATTATGATTCAACATACACTTAAAATAATTGAAGTATTTAATATACGTTACTATTAAACAGTTTAATGTATTCGACCTTTCTATGATTTCTACAGTTTATTTACACAAAGATGTATAAAATAGAGTTGCTGAGTAGACTTAATTTCCCCACTGTACATATACAGCGGTGCTAAGGTCATGAATAATTGAAGTTTGCCAGAAATTATGCTTGTTGAATATACTTTTCTTTGAGACATTCATTTTAATACAAGTTTAATGAATATATGAATATAATTTTATTTATTTCTTATAAATGTGAATTTTAAGGCAAATGTGCTCAATATTATTCCTAGCCGTCTGTTACGTTTTCTTTTGTATGAAAGTTAATTATTTGTTTATATTTTATACTAATTACTAACTGATCCACAGAACTTCATCTGCATCACATTTACTCCACATCTATCATTAACTATTTCTCAATTTACACAATTGTGTGGTAGTGGTATAGTAAAGGTTTTATTTAGGTCGTTGCCTTAAATTACTAAACAATAAAATAACTAACCTGTAATTCAGTAATTTTTACACAAACATTAAAACATTTAAATGACTTAATAAACTTTTACTTTAATAATAGGAGTAGAATAAAAACTTTGTCGATATAAAAGTGTACGTACAGTAGAGTACATGGTTTCTATTTTCAATGTCTGTAATATAGAGATGGTGAAGAAGTATTGGAAAAGTTTCGGTTGTCTGATCGAAAGCTTGTCGATCATACATAGTTTGTAATTCATACTAGTATAGCGACATCTATACATAGTAGTAATGTTATCGAAGGCAGGCCTGCTAAGTATTTTTTTACAATTACTGTACTTTGAAATTTTGTTTCT